TGTGTGTGCGTGCATGTATACATACCACATCTTCTTTATCCACTCATCTATAGATGGACACATGGTTGCTTCCGTATCTTGACTATTGTAAATAATGCTGCAGTAAGCATAGGGATACATATATCTTTTTGAGTTAATGTTTACATATTCTTTGGGTAAATCTCCAGTTCCATTTGTCACTTTTATTCAGCATTGTACTGGAGATTTTACTCAGTGCTGTAAGATAATATAAGGAAATGAAAGGCATCCACATTGAAAGGAAAAAAAAAATGAGTGGGAAATATCAGAAAGGGAGACAGAACATGAAAGACTCCTAACTCTGGGAAACGAACTAGGGGTGGTGGAAGGGGAGGTGGGCAGGGGGTGGGGGTGACTGGGTGACAGGCACTGAGGTGGGCACTTGACGGGATGAGCACTGGGTGTTATTCTATATGTTGGTAAATTGAACACCAATAAAAATAAATTTATTTAAAAAATAAAAAATAAATATTGTCAGCATTTATAAAACAGCAGTAACAACAACAACAACAACAAAAAGGCATCCACATTGGAAAGGACTAAATAAAAACTATCTTCATTCGCAGATGACATGATATAGAAAATCCTGAAGAGTTCACACTCCTTCTACCCCCACAAAATCTACTAGAAGAAATAAGTTAAGATCACAGTATATCAGATCAATTTATAAAAATCAATTATGAATGTGGCATGTTTACCTAATAGAATATTATCCAGCCAAAAAAAGGAAAGTACTAATACACGCTATGCTCTGGATGAACCTTAAAAGGGGGCTCAATGAGAGAAGCCAGACACAAAAGGCTATTATATGATTCTATATAATGAAATGTCCAGAAGAGCAAATCCAGAGACAAAAAGTAGGTTAGTTGTGGCCAAGGACTGGTAGAAAGAGAAATGCAGTGTGATTGCTAATGGTGACAGGATTTCTTTTGGGGATGATGAAATATTCTGGGATTAGATACTGGTGATGTTTGCACAACTGTGAATATACTACAAACTATTGGCCCCAAACCACTAACTTGCACACTTTAAAAAGATGAATTTCATAGCATATGAATTATATTTAAATTTAAAAATCTTTCTACACATTAGCACATGAACAACTCAAAATGAAAATAAAAAATAACATCAATTCACAATAGAACAAAAGGGATGAACTTAACAAAAGAAGCACAAAACTTATACACTGGGAATTTCAAAACTTTGCTGAGAAAATGATATATAAACACATTCATGTTTATAGATTGGAACACTAAATATTAAGACTGCATTCCTTCCCAAATTGATGTATATGATGTATACATACAATACATTCCCTATCAAAATCCCTACCAGTTTTTGTAGAAACTGATTAAGCTGATCCTAAGATGGATATGGAATTGTAAAGGAGTCAGATCAGCCTAAACAATATTGAAACAAAAGGAGAAAGTCAGAGGACTTACACTCTCCTATTTTAAAACTTAATAAAATGATGCTATAATCAAAACAGTGTGGTACTGACATAAGAACAGGCATAATGATCAATAGAACAGAACTGGTAATCCAGAAATAAACCCTTACATTTAGAGTCAATTGATTTTTGACAAAGATGCTAAAGACAAAAACTGTCAATCTGTTAGAAAAAAATATGAGAAAACTTGCAATACAACAATATACAATATGACACCCCAAAAGCACAAGCCTAAAAAATTGGATAAATTTGACTCCATCAATATTAAAATCATTTGTGCTTTCAAATATATCATCAAGGGAATGAAAGGTCAAACCACAGGTAGGGAGAGAATATTTGCAATAGTACATGTATTTGACAAAGGACTTGTATCCAAAACTTAAAAACTCTGTACTAAGAAGACAGCAGGTGAAAAAAATGGGCAAAAAACTTGAACTCCATGAAAGAAGATATATGACCAAGTAGCATATTGAAAGATGCTCAGTATCATTAATCATCAGAGAAATGCAAATTTAAAATGGTCATGATACACCACACTCACTAAAACTAAAAAGACTGACAATATCTAATTTTAACCAGGATGTAGAGCAAAATTGAATGCTCACACATTTCTGATGGGAGTGCTAAATTGTATATATGTATGTGTGTGTATATATATATATATATGTATATGTGTGTGTTGCATATATATGTATATATACACTTCAAAATAGTATAGCATTATACATGATACTCATAAGACCCAGAAGTTCCACTTCGATATATTTATCAGAAGGAAATAAAAATATATATCCAGAAAAAGACTTGTACATGAATGTTCATATTACATTTACTCATAACAAATAATGCAAATGTCCCTCAAAAGAAGAATAGATAAATTGTAGCATATTCCTACAATGAAATTCTTCTCAGCAATAGAATGCAATGAACACTAACACATGCAAAAACATAGATGAACCTCAAAAAAATTCTGAGTGAAGGAAGTTAAACACACAAAAGTACACCTGCATAATCCTATTTATACAAAGTTCTAGAACAGACAAAACTAACTTATAATGATAGAAATCAGATTAGTGGTTTCCTGACATGGGGAATGGAACACTTCAGTTACAAAGCAGAATAAGAATACAGTTGTGGAGTGATAGAAATGTTTATATATCTGGAAGATTGGGCAGCCCGGGGGGCTTAGCGGTTTGGTGCCGCCTTCAGCCCAGGACCTGATCCTGGAGACCTGGGATCGAGTCCCACGTCCGGCTCCCTGCATGGAGCCTGCTTCTCCCTCTGCCTGTATCTCTGCCTCTCTCTCTCCGTTGTCTCTCATGAATAAATAAATAAAATCTTTAAAAAAAACTATCTGGAAGGCAATGGTAGTTAGTTGGGTGAACGCATTTTTCAAATATTGTGCTATATATACTTGAAATGTTATTGTATGTAAATTATTCTTCAATAAGTTTATTAAACTTTAAAATACTCAAAGAATTAAATGATAAGATAGCATCCATTAAAATTATTGGGTTTTAAAACAAAGCAGATAGAGATATTTAAGAACAGACAGATACGAAGATACAGTTTGAACTCTTGAAATGAATAGCATTTGAAATATGTCAATAAATAAGGTAAACTGGATTGTATCCAGTTTACAGTTCCAGTGAAACAGAACTGTAGTAAACAATGATAAAACTAAGACAATCACCTCGAACTAGAGAGCTAAAGACATTGAAAATTTGAAGAGTAGTTAGGAAACATGAAACCTGGATTAAGATGCTGTAGTACATATCTAACAGAAGTTTTAGAAAGAGGAAATATTGAAAGAAATAATCACTGATTTTTTTTTAAGAATTGAGTTAAAATAACAGTATTCATGTTGAAAAGTATAACAACTGAGACAAAACAAAAACAAAAAAACACTGCCAGATCAATTCCAGAGAAATTGTTGAAAATATAAAAAGAGAAATGTTAAAAGCTATTAGAAAAGATATTCTACACATTTTGGAGTAAAAATCAGACTAACAACAGAATATTGGTCACAACAAATGCCAGATGATAATGATATTAAGTCTTCAAAATGCTAAGGAAAAAAGAGATATTTTCTCTATGTCATATATATATTGAATGAATATATATATATGAATGATATACCTCTTATATATGCTTAATAAGATATATAAATATGTCATATTTTAGCATTCAATAATGAAGGCAAAATAAAAACATCTTAAGCATCTATGAACAAGAATTTTCCATCCTTATGTATTATACACTGAGAGAACTATTAAAGGATTGATTATATCAATAAGAAAAAGGCAGAAAAAAGGAATGGGATACACACAGAATCAGAAAGCAAAGTTATTGGCAAAGCATACTGGTAAATTAAGTTACTAAAATAAGTAATATGTGTTATAAAAAAACATTAATACTAAAATTCAAAATAAAAACATGAAAAATACTTAGAGGAAAGTTAAAGCATATCAAAGTCCTTTTTAACAAATGTATTTTACATAATTGGATAGCTCTTTTTTTTTAAGGTAAATAGTCTTTAAAGTTAACCTTCATATCTATTTAGCAAAGCTTTTTTAATTGGGTAGAAGCTGATTTTTATTCTTGGAGTGAAAAATACAAATTTCTTATCTTATACTTTAATAAAAGGTTTAACTTTTCTTCCACCAAAACGTTAAAGGTGCATAAATACAGATGAAGTAGAGGACAAGCAGAGAATCAGATAACATGATCAGATTTACATTTTATAGCCATCTCTATAGGTGCTGCTAAAGAATTATAGAGGACAGGGACAACCTAAACTGTCAATTGAAAAATACAGACTACAAAATAATGCATATACACTTGGCCTTTGAACACAGGTTTGAACTATGTGGGTCCACTTTTATGTTCAATACAGTACAGTGCTGTAAATGTATTTTCTCTTATGATTTTCTTAATAACTTTTTCTTTAGTATACTTTATTATAAGAAAACAGTATGTAATACACATATAAAATATGAGATATTGGCAAAGCTTCCAGTCATCAGTATACTATTAGTAGTTAGGTTTCTGGAGACTCAAGTGTTATATATGGATTTTCAACTGTGCATGCAGGGGAGGTGGGAGGGTGGTCAGCACCCCTAGTCCCATGTTGTTCAGGGTCAAATGTATAGGATTAACTGTCTTCAGCTCTAAAAAAATACTGGAACCAAGCAGCTATACTAAAATTAGCAATCATTATATTTGATAGAATTATTGGTACTTTTTTTCATTTTTCTTCATACCTTTCTTTCAAGGTGATTATAATAAACATAGTATTTTTATGATAAAGAAAATATTACTTTGAAAAAGTAGATATTTCTATAAATTTTCTTTAAATAGGAATAGAAAGAAAATATAAATATTATAAGATGAAAATTCACTAACTTTTCCTTCATGGAAATTCAGCAGTATTTCAAATGGTTAAATATTAAAAACAAAATTTGATTGCTGAAAGCAACCTTTATGACTTTAAAAGCCTATCTAAATATTTTGGTGTGATATTTTCTTCTAGGAACTTGACCAAAATGCTACTGAAAAGGTCCAGGCAATGTTCACAGCCATTGATGAACTCTTGTATGAGCAGAAGTTAAGTGTGCATACTAAGAGTTTACAAGAAGAGTGCCAACAATGGACATGTAGCTTTCCTCACCTCAGGTATTAAAAGCCCTAGTATTGGCTTGTATTCATAGCAAACACTAAAACTTGAAAAGTAGATATCCAAAAAAATTTGTATTCTGAAATCTTTATGGGCTTGGTTTTAATGAATATAAATAAGGCCATCTGATGGATAGACTCCGTTGAGAGAAAATTCAAGTTGAAGGAAGTTTCTTGGAGTTTTCATAACTACCACTATGTTGTCCTAATTGAATAAAAACAGTTTCTATACCAGTAGCTGAGATCTGTGTATTGTGGCTGTCCAAACAGCTCTTCTTTTGAGCAAGAGGGTCAGAAAATGTACTTCTTTACACTGTTGTCTACAAGAAAATTCATATGTACACTTGAAAGCAGATATAAGCTGTTAGGAAACTTTCCTCAGAAACCATATTACTTGTACTTAACTATTTAAAACTTATTCAGCATCATGTTCTTAAGAATGTAATTCATAGTTTTCACTAATTCAGGCTGGCTTTCATCCATTTTGGCAGATTTAATGAAGGTTACTGTAGAGGACAGAGGGAAAATTACAAATGCTTGCTCAGTTTCCTTGGATTTTTTCAATGGTGGGAAGCTATAGCTTTATCATTTATGTCTCCATTCTGTGGAAGAGAGCTATACCTCTAATAAGACTCTGGATTCACATTTTCTCTCAAGAATCATTCTTAATCAGTATCAGACTAAGTATGTACTGGAATTTTATATAGAGCCAGCATATTTGTTCCAAAAATATCTACATTTTGTATGAATGACAGGTGAAGGTGTTTAACTGTCTTTTTATGTTGTTCATTTTGAAGGATTCTGGGTAGGCAGATAATCACTCCAAGTGAAGGTTATGGGCTGTATCCTAGATCCCCTTCTGTTGTTTCAGCTTCACATGAGGCAGCACTTTCTCAAGAAAGAGATTCTACTATGTAAGTATTTATAATATTTAAGTATTTATGTATCCAAATGTGCAAGTGTTATACTAGGTGATTCAAAAACTTTTTACTTGTTCATATTTAATAAAGCACATAAAATTCTGTTAAGATTGTACTTTTTGCGCATATGAGAATTTTGTTATATAATTTTTTGTTCAAAAAATAAGACATTCCCTAGAGTTTAAGGATATTTTTGTTATTCAGATCTATCTCTATCTTTGTATTTCTATATGTCTATAAATACAGGCACTTCCTTCTTGAAATAAAGTGTAGATAGACTGGGTCAAAAAAATTTAGGGGTCTGAGAAACACACTTTAAAGATTTTTTGAAAAAAATTTTGAAAAAGTGATTTTTCTTAAACATGTAATATTAATTCCAACTTTATTTCTTTATACACATTAAGCTGTTAGTTTGTTAGCTTAAACTGGGTAATTAGTATATTATTTAAAATAGCTAATTCTTTTGAATACTTCAAACTCTTTAAGCAACAGCAAAATAAACCTAAAAAAGATTATTCCACTTTCTTACAACATACACAAAAACAAATTCAAAATGTGAGATCTGAAACCATAAAAGTCCTAGAAGAGAACACAGGCAGTAACAACCTCTTTGATATCAGCTATAGCAACTTTTTTCTTTTTTCTGGGTATGTCTCCTGAAGCAAGGGAAACAAAAGCAAAAATAAATTATTGAGCTTCATCAAAAATAAGAAGCTCTGCACAGCAAAGGAAACAGTCAACAAAACTAAAAGGCAACCTATGGAGAGGGAGAAGATATTTGCAAATGATATATCTGATAAAGGGTTAGTATCCAAAACATATAAAGAACTTATAAAATTCAACACCTCCAAAATTAATAATCCAATTTAAAAATGGGCAAAAGACATGAAGACATTTTTCCAAAGAAGACATACAGTTGGCCAACAGACACCTGAAAAGATGCTTAGTATTATGGATCATCAGGGAAATACAAATCAAAACTACAATGAGCTATCACCTCACAGCTATCAAAATGGGTAAAATCAACAACACAAGAAACAACAGGTGTTGGCAAACAATATGGAGAAAGGGAAAACCTCTTCTTTTTAAAGATTTTATTTATTTGACAGATAGAGCAAGCATGAATGGGGGGAGGCACAAAGGGAGAAGGAGCAGGAGGCTACCCACTAAGCAGGGAGACTGACTTGGGGGTCAATCCCAGGACTCAGGGACCATGATCTAAGCCGAAGGCAGATACTTAATTGACTGAGCCACCCAGGTGCCCAAAGGGGAACCCTCTTGCCCTGTTGGTGGGAATGCAAACTGGAATAGCCACCCTGAAAACAGTATGCAGGTTCCTTAAAAAGTTAAAAATAGAACTATCCTATGATTCAGCAATCATACTACTGGGTATTTACCCAAAGAATACAAAAATACTAATTAAAGGGATAAATGCACCCCAAAGTTTATAGTAGCATATATCTACAATCGTCAAATTATGGAAACAACCCAAGTGTCTATCAACTGATGAATGGATTAAGATGTGGTGTGTGGGGATCCCTGGGTGGCGCAGCGGTTTGACGCCTGCCTTTGGCCCAGGGCGCGATCCTGGAGACCCGGGATCGAATACCACGTCAGGCTCCCAGTGCATGGAGCCTGCTTCTCCCTCTGCCTGTGTCTCTGCCTCTCTCTCTCTGTGTGTGACTATCATAAATAAATAAAAATTTAAAAAATAAAAAATAAATAAAAACTTTAAAAAAAATTTAAGATGTGGTGTGTGTGTGTGTGTGTGTGTGTGTAATGGAATATTATTCAGCCATAAAAAAGAATAAAATCTTGCCATGGATGGATTCTAGAGAGTATAATTTTGAGCAAACTAAGAGACTAATAATGTATTATTTCACTCATATGTGGAATTTAAGAAACAAAACAGAGAAACAAATTCTTAACTTAAATGAACTGATAGTTACCGAAGGGGAGTTGGGGGGGATGAGTTAAATAGGTGATGAGGATTAAGGAATGCACTTGTGATGAACACCAGGTGATTTATGCAAAGGTTGAATCACTATATTGGACACCTGAAACTAATATCACACTGTATGTTAACTGGAATTTTTTTAAAAAGATTTTATTTATTTATTCATGAGAAACACAGAGAGAAAGAGAGAGAGGCAGAGACAAGGCAGAGGGAGAAGCAGGCCCCATGCAGGGAGCCGGACATGGGACTTCATCCTGGGACTCTAGGTTCAGGCCCTGGGCTGAAGGCGGCACTAAACCTCTGAGCCACCCGGACTGCCCCTAACTAACTGGAATTTAAGTAAAACATTTTTTAAAAACCTAAATAGGATTATTTCAAAAATCTATGTTTACCCTTAAATCTATTGTAAAATATCATAGTTTTAATTCCCTTTTTTTATTATTCCTAAACTTTTCCCCAAGGCTATAATTTTACTTATTTGAGCTATGAGTTTTTAGTAGCAGTAGTTCTGATGCTTTTTGGGGCTTGTAGTCATTTCAAGAGACCACAACGTAAAACATTATCTCATTAGGCCACTTATGGTTATAGGACCAGGGTTATCACCTAAATTGTTAAAGAATGGAATTTGTTTGCTTTTCTCAAAATTCAAGTTTCTTCTCATTAGGCTGAATTTTCTTTTTAAATTTAAACCTCATGTATTACATGAATAAGCCTTTTTAAATTTGCTTTTTATATAATTCCCAGAGTTTTACAAACTAATGTCTTTCACAGAGGTGATGTATTCTTTAATTCTCACTGACCAAAATTACATAACTCAAGTTATGTAATTAATATATTTACCTGATGTTAGTAGAGATTTTATATATGCCTTATTATTTTATAAGTAGTAGTTCTATTGAGACACTCTTCTCCAAGGAACTAAGTAATCAAGGCCTGAGCAGTTAGCCCCTCTTCTTTTAGGATATCTGGCTAAACCATCCTGCAACATACTGCAGACTTCCTTTCTTTCATTTCTACTTGCTACCCTACTGCTGATTAGCCCTTCTTACTTTGGCTGTGCTTTTCTGGACTATTTGCTTACAGTTTTAAATTATTATTTTTATTTAACATACAGATAAAACAAACATCTATTTATAATTCATATACAGACATATACTCAGCTGAAACAAGTTATCCAGCTTTATTAGCATACCACTGCTTATAGAAAGCATAAGAGAATCCATATTTACTTTCATGTAACCCTTACTTTGTCCATACTTGATATTTTCTTGAATACCATTATGAACTCAGAGCATTTCAAAATATTTATATATTTTAATTAATCATAATTACTGATGCCCAAATTGTTACAACTTGGCCATGACAAGCTAGTTACTTTGTTTTTGTCTTGACGGTCTTTGCTTTGTGGTTACAGTAGGATGTTCCATGCCCATCTTTAAGTTTTTCTTCAAGACATAGAATCAGCTGAAATTTAAGGAGACCTACTTCTGTTGAGAGGCTAATAGTATTTGAGAACAAAATTTGGGTAGTGAAGGTCTGTAACTTGGTGCTGCTATTTTGGCACTTTTTGCTTTGTAAATGGTACGGAAAAATGTGTCATATTCATTTTGATTTTTTTCAGTTTAGCAAATCAATTTGCCATAAAATGAGGTTTATAAATGAGATTTTCTATAAAAATAATATTTCAAATTATATCCATTCTTGCCACTCAACATTACATCAGATTTTCCTTTTAAAATTAAGGGTTGCTCCTTTCTGTCTCCCACTTAAAAATCTTCAATAGCTTCCCACTGAATTTAAGATAAAAATGTAAAATTGTATCATAAGCTGACTTAAGCTATATCTCTATCACTGTCTTCTGTCATTCTCTTTCTTATTCACGAATCTTCTCACACTGACTTTCTTTAAGGTGTCAAATGTACTAAACAAAGTATTTGGTTCAATTTCTATTTTTGAATTCTTGGTCCAGAGAAAACTGGTACAATACAAAACACAAAACTACAGTATTTTCTTCTTTGTATTTCTTAACAGCACAGTGATTACAACATGATTAGCATTCAACATTTTCTTTTACTATAAGTTTAAGCATATCATATTTTTATGATACCAAATGATACAAAAGTTAATGTATACACTGATATTATGGCTGCAAAACAATGTTATCAATCAAAACAAATATTAGTGTTTAGGTCAAAATGGAATTCCAGAACCGAAAAATAATAGAAGATGGTGGTAGAGAAAACACAGGCAAAAAAGGGCCATGAGAATATGAATTTAAGGATATTTCCACTTGAAAAAAAATATGCACTTTGCTGTTTCAAGTTAGCATAAGGAGCTGTCAACCTTTAGTTTAAATATATCCCTCAACAAAAATTAACTAGCTGTAATACCTAATAAAATGCTAAAGTGTGTGACTATATGCAGAATTGTAATCCTTGAAAACCACTAATAGAATAGCACATTTGTGTAAATGGCCAAATGACTTTCAACAAGTCTGCCAAGACTACACAATGGGGAAGGGACACTCTTCAACAAATGGTGCTGGGAAAACTAGGTGCCCAGATGCAAAAGAATGAATTTGGAACCTTACCTTGCATCATATATAGAAATTAACTCAAAGCAGATTATAGACCTAAACATAAGACCTAACTCTATACAAATCCTAGAATAAAACATAGGGAAAAAGCTTCAGGACATTGGATTTGGCAATGATTTATTGGATATGACACTAAAAGCATAGACAACAAGAGCAAAAACAAATAAGTGGGACTACATCAAACTTAAAAATCTCTGAGCCTTGGGCAGCCTGGGTGGCTCAGCGGCTTAGCACCGCCTTCGGCCCAGGGCGTGATCCTGGAGACCCGAGATGGAGTCCCACGTCAGACTCCCTGCTTCTCCCACTGCCTGTGTCTCTGCCTCTCTCTTTCTGTGTCTCTCACAAATAAATAAATAAATTATTTTTTTAAAATTCTGAGCCAATGCAATGAAAAGCAACCTGTGGAATGGGGGAGAATATTTTCAAATCACATATCTGATAAGGGGTTAATATCCAGGATATATACAGAATTTCTGCAACTCAACAACAACAAAATAACCCAATTTAAAAATGAACGAAGGATTTGAATACACAGTTCTCTGAAGAAGATACATATATGGCTAACAAGCATTTGAAAAGATGCTCAACATCACTAATAATAAGAAAATGCAAATCAAAACCACAATGAGATACCACCTTATACCCATCGGGATGGCCACTATCAACAGAACAGAAGATAACAAGTATTGGTAAATATGCAGAGAAATTGGAACCCTTGTGTACTTTTAGTGGGAATGTAAAATGGGGCGGCCACCATGAAAAACAAGATGGAAGTTACTTTAAAAAATTGAAAATGGAAAATAAAAATAAAAATAAAAAAATTGAAAATAGAATTATCATATGATCCAGCAATCCCACTGCTGGCTATATATATCAAAAAAAAATTGAAAGCAAGATCAAAAAGAGATATTTGCACAACCATTTGCAGCATTATTCACAATAGGCAAGATATCTGGAAACAACCCAAATGTCTATCAACAGATGAATGGCTAAAGCAAATACAGTATATATATGCAATAGAATATTATGTGGCTTTAGAAAAGAAGGAAATCCTGTCACATGCTACAATATAGATGAACCTCAAAGACATTATGCTAAGTGAAATAAGCCAGTCACAAAGGGACAAATGCAGTATAATTCTACTCACATTACCTATATAGAGTAGTCAAAATCATAGAAAATAGGAAGGTGGTTGCCAGAAGGAGGGGATTAGTATTTAATGTGTATTAGGGTTTCAGTTTTTCAAGATAAAAAAGTTCTTGAAAATCTGCTACACAATAGTAATGTGAGTATACTTAACACTACTGTGATGTACAGTTTAAAATTGTTATGATGGAAAATTTATTATATTTTTTACCACAATTTACAAAAGCCAGTCAGGTTGTATGGTATGGCTGCTGTTTGTCTTAAGCCTGTCTCCCTTGTATCACACATAAATTATAGCCTTTGTTTTTTTTATTATTATTTCTTTTTTACAGCTATCCTAAATGCAAGGGCTAGTTAAGCTCAATACAAATCAGATTATTTTTTTTTTAGACATAAAGAGTTTTCTGAAGCTCTCCAAAGCCATGGAGATATTTCAAATATTTTCAGTTCTACTGGCAAGTTCATCCACAGGCTTATTTCCTTTCCAGGATACTAAGTTATGTTTTCCTTTTGGCATCATGAAATCACACCTTCATGTAAATTTCCTTTAGTTCAGTCCATTCTAGAGATCCACTGGGTATAAGGTTGGTCTGAAATGGAATTGAGAGTAGCTAATTGTACTTTTCAGATCCTGATCAGGAAAGAGCTCTGGGCCACTTGTTCCTCTCAACCACCTCATTGCAGTGATCACTTCCAGGAAGGCTGCAGATTTCTACCTCCTAAAGTTTACACATGGATGGTCTGGCTCCAAATTAAACTCTTTGTTTTAAAAACCTAGCAAAGTTGGGGATCCCTGGGTGGCGCAGCAGTTTGGCGCCTGCCTTTGGCCCAGAGCGCGATCCTGGAGACCCGGGATCGAATCCCACGTCGGGCTCCCGGTGCATGGAGCCTGCTTCTCCCTCTGCCTGTGTCTCTGCCTCTCTCTCTCTCTCTCTGTGACTATCATAAATAAATAAAAATTAAAAAAAAATTAAAAACCTAGCAAAGTCATTTTATCCTCCATGCATGTGAGAGAAGAATAAAGTACCAATGATTTTTTTCCTCACAAGAAAATATTTCAAATTAAATGTTACTAACAGAGCAATGCGTGATAAGGCAAAACCACTGTTTTTTTTTTTATTACTTACAAATATTTTAGAAGTTAAAGGTTATTTTCCAGACATGGTAATCTTTGAAGTCTGATGATTTAAAAGGTTCCTTTATTAGAAATAATATTTGCAAAAACACTTTTATGGTGTAGACTATTGGGGGTTTTTGCTGCAGTTTTAGAGGCAATGGGAACATTTTTCCTTTCATCCAACTGAAATTTTCTTACTAACAAAAAGGCCTATTTTGTTAAAGCAAAAAAATTCTAGAGGGGTGCCTGCTGGCTCAGTTGGTAGAGCATGTGTGTGATTCCTGATCCTGTTGTGGCGGGGAGGGGACTGTGAGTTCAGTTTTGTTGTACAAAATTAATATTTGTTTTTTCCTCTCCCAGATTTGGTATTAGAGGAAAGAAGTTACATTTTTCATCTTCTTATGCTCATAGAGCATCTTCCATTGCCAAATCCCCTAGCTTGTATTCTATGGAAAGAGAAGAGGAAGACTGTGTAATCTTCTCTGAAGGAATAATAGAGGAATACCTAGCATTTGACCACACTGATATGTGAGTATTATGTCTTTAAAGCTTTTTTACTCCTTTCCTGTTTTCTGAATTAATATCTATCTTTTCCAAAGTATAGCACAATATTACCTATAATTGGATTTATGTCACTTGGTTATTTATTTCCTATTACTTCCTACATACAAGGATATTGAATGCAGTACTGACTATAAGAACAAAAGGTTGGTTGATCAGTAACCGGCCATGGCATATCCAATGGAATACTCTGCAGCTATTTTTTAAGAGGCATATTCATCTGTATTAATAGGGATCAAGGGCCAGATACATTGTTAAGTAAAAAACCAAAGTGCAGTACAGAATATAATGTAACTATTTCTCTGGACCCAAGTATAGTGTTGGCTTCTGGGAATGGTAACTGAGGGACAGCGTTATAAACTTATTTTCCACTACATACATATATTTCCTTCCTTATAATTTGAATGTTTTCATCATATGAAAATATTATCTCCTATGAAAAGAAATACAAATTTAAATACAATTAATACTAATCAGCCTTCTCCCCGACTTAATGCTAGGCCAGCTCTTCCTTGGGAAAGAAGCAGAGGAGAAAGTCTTTAGTTGCTCTGCATAAACCTCTTACCATCCTTCTTTCCTGCTTACAGCTCCCCATTTAATTCTTGAGACCTCTGCTACCCTAGTGATAATTTTTACTATAGAGACCTTAAGATATTTCTTTATACCTCAAGGGTTCCAGAATTATTTTGTCTTAATTTTTAATATATGTATCATAGTAAACATATCTGTTAGCTAGAGTATTAACCCCAAAATACTGGGGCTATTGGTTCTCCCTGACAAATGCAGATAACTGAGAGTTTCTGGCTTACAGATAGAATCTCCAGAAGAGCCTCAGAGTAGCTTCTTGTGCTATTGGGCTCTTCTGCTTTTCCTTTCCTGCCAGTTAACAAATGTTTATTGGATTATTTGCTTTTGTTACAGGGAAGAGGGGTTTCAAGGAAAGAAATTACAAGCAGCTCCAGAGAAACAGAAATTAGGGTACCCACCCATTGCTCCATTTTACTGCATGAAAGAGGATGTCCTTGCTTATGTGTTTGACGATGTGTGGAGCAAGGTTCTGAGCTGTATGGAGCAGCTGACACGTAGTCATTGGGAGGGATTTGCTTCTGGTAAGGATCTTTGTGAAAACAATATAAAAAAATAGTTGTTTATGATTTTTAAACCCTAACTAGTTTATCAGATTAAATGCTTCATTAGTGTAAAAAGTTTATATTTGTATTTCCCACAGGCATGTACAGATACTTAGAAAATATTTGAGAATGAGTAGATGAGCAACAAGGCCTATTCTATGATAATTAGATTGTGTTTTCTTTGAATATAATTATTTGTGAGGAAAAAAACATGTGCAAGTGGCAAATACATTTTAAAAACTGCTTAAGAATTACTGATATACAATAAACCATTCATATTTAAAGTATATAATTTGGTAAATTTGCCCATGTATATATAAACGTGAAACTACAAAATAGTCAATATAATGAACATAATGAACCCTCAAAAGTTCATGACCTTTGTAATCCTTCCCTTCTGCCCATGCCTGATCTACCATCCCCAAGGGACAAAAAAATGTACTTTCTGTCACTATAGTTTAGTTTTTATTTTGTAGAGTTTCATATAAATGGAATCATGGTATTTACTTGTCAGCTTCCTTCCTTCAGCAGGATCATTTTGAGATTCATCCATGTAATTGTGTCTGTCAGCAATTTATTCCTAAAAAGTATTCCATTGTTCCATAATTTATCCATTTTACTGTCCATGGACATTTGGATTGTTTCAGTTTGGGACTAATACATGTAGCTGGTCTGTATGTTATGTATCAGAGTTTTTTGAACATATATTTCCTTTTCTATTAGGTGAATGTCTAGGAGTGGAATGGTCTGATTATATGGTTAAATGTCTATTTAGCCTTTTAAGAATTGTTCTCATTTTCTGTGATACATAAAAAATGGTCACAAACTTAGCAGTTTCAAACAACACACATTTATTATCTCACAGATTTGTGGTCAGAAGTCCAAGAATTGCTTAACTAGTCCACTACTTAGGATCTTACAAAGTTGCAGTCAAGGTGTTGGCCATGGCTAGGTTCTCATGCAGAGGCTCAACTAGGAAAGGATCCACTACCCCTTTTGTGTGTTCTTTGAAGCATGTAGTTTCTTGTAGCTGTAGGAGTCACAGCAGCTTTCCTCTTCAAGGCCATCAAGAAAGACTGAGAGCTAGTCAGCTAGCAAAACAGCTAATATAACATATTAATGGGAGTGACATCTCATCACTTTTAGGTGTGAACACCAAGAGGTAAGAATCATAGAGGGGCCATTGTAGAGTTTGTCCATCCTATTACTGCATAGGCTCCGAAGTCCAAAATATTATCATCTAAATCAGGCCATGATATAGACAAAGTTCCTGGATATAATACATTAAGTAAAGTTTCTGGGGCACAATTCCTTTCCATCTATAGACCTGTGAAAATAAAGACTATATACAGTGGTATATAAACATCTAACTATATAATCCAGCCATTCCACTCCTGGAGAAAAGTTACCTTACCCAACACACCCAACATATAATAGTGGGCCAGGGAAAGGATCACAGACATTCCAGATAAGGAAGAGGGAGTAGTTTGCAGAAATGGAAGGTAAAAAAGGGGTTCATAGCAATTCTGAAGTCCAGTTGGGAAATACTGGAAGTTCCAATCCTAGAAATAATCCTCTCAGCTCTCTGTTCCAACCTCTGGGCTCTTGGTTTTACCCTCTGAGTCACCTTTCCTTTTTCATAAAATGTAGCGCATGTGTGTAGCTTAGTAGTTTTATCAGACTGCCTCCTGCCAGTAGAATTTTGAGGATCTGACAGCCTTCTTTCATTAAATTTTCTTGCCATCTAGAGATACAGAATTTTCAAAATCATCAAGTCCTGGTTTCTTTATATTTAATAATTTTTCTTTCACTTTCTCTTCCTCATCTTGTGTTTTATTATAAGTAGCAAGAAAAATATCAGACCTCACCTTCAACACTTTTATTGGAAATCTCCTTAGCTACATAACCAGAATCATCACTTAAAAGTCCTGCTTACCACATGACCACAGAAGACCATTTCACTAAGATTTCTTTTACTAAATAACAAGCACCTCCTTTCTTCCAGTTTCTAATAAAATGTTCCTTATTTCCTTCTAAACCCTCCCCTACAGCATCCTCCAAATCCAGATTTCTACTAAGTCCGTTCGAGGCAATTTATGCTAGCTCTATTACACTTCTCAAAATTCTTTCAGCCTCTATCAATGAATAATTGAAAATGAAATTAAGGAAACAGTTCATTTACAATAGCATCAAAAAGAATAAAATACTTAGAATTAAACTTAACCAAGGAAGTATAAGACTTTTGTACTGAAAACTTCAAAACATTATTGTATGAAAATAGAGAAGACCTAAAGAATTGGAAAGTTATCCTGTGTTTATGGATTGGAAGGAAGACTTAATATTGTTAAGATGGCAATACTCCCCAGTAGATTTACAAGTTGAGTGAATGTCCAAAATACTAAAAAGGAACAAAATATGAGACTTCACACTTCCTGATTTTAAAACTTGATACAAAGCTACATTAAAAAAAAAAGCTACATTAACTAAAACAATGTGGTACTGCCATAAGAATTAATATATACATCAACAGAATAGGATCAAGAGTCCAGAAATAAACCCAAACATTTATGGCAAATTGATTTTCAACAAGGGTGCCAAGACCATTCAATGGGAGAAGAAAAGTCTCTTCAAGAAATGGTGCTAAAACAACTGGATAGTCACATAAAAAGGAATGAATTTGGACCCTGATTTCATACCACATACAGAGTATCAACTCAAAATGGATCACAAACATACATTTAAGATCTAAAACTATAAAACTCTTAGAAGAAAACATAGGAGTAAATCTTAATGAGGTTGGCAGTGGATTCTTAGATGATTCCAAGACCATAAACAACAACAGAAAAAGCAATAAACTGGATTTTATACAAATTAAAAAAAACTATGTATCAAAGGATATTATCAAAAAAATGAAAAGACAATCTATAGGATGGGAGAATATAAGTGCAAATCATACACCTGATAAGAATCTAGGATCCACAACATATAAAGTATAAATTCAACAACAAAGGGACAAACAACCCAATTTAAAAATGGGCAAACAACTTGAATAGATATTTCTCCAAAGGTTACACATGGCCAATAAGCATATGAAACGATGTTCAACATCATATTCCTTAGGGAAATATAAACCAAAACCAAAATCACAATGAAATACAATTTCATACCCACTAGGATGGCTACGTTGGAAAAAAAGGACAATAACAAGTATTGGTGAGGATGTGGAGAAATTGAAAACCTCATACATTGCTGGTGGGAAAGTAAAGTGGTATAGCCATTGTGTAAACAGTTTGGTAGTTCCTCAAAAAGTTAAACATAAAATTACCCTATGACCCAGCAATTCCATTCAAAGGTATATAGCCAAGAGAACTGAAACCATATTCACACAAAAGCCTATGCATGAATGTTCACAACAGCATTATTTGTAATTGTCAAAAAGTAGAATAAAAGGCTCAGTTAGTGAAGCATCTGGCCCCTGATCTCAGTGTTGTATGAACCCCACATTGAATGCATTGATTACTTAAAAATATATACTTTTTTAAAAAAAAGTAGGATCAACCCAAATGTACATCAACAAACAATTTTGTTTTGAAGAAACAGAATTTGGTATATCCAAGTGTTATGGACTGAATTGTGTCCTCTTCAGAATTTGTACGTTGAAGCCCTAAACTCCAATGCAAATGTTTGGAAATGGAATATTTAGGGAGGTAATTAAGATTAAATGAAATAAAAAAAAGATTAAATTAAATCACAAGTGTGGGGCCCTAATCCTATAGAGTTGGTATCCTTATAAGAAGAGGAAGAGACGGCACAGCTTCTTTTCTGTGCATGCACAGAGAAGAGGTCACACAAGGAAGGAGACAGCTGCCTATGATCCAGAGAGCTCCTTGATCTTGGACTTCTAGCCTTCAGAACTGGAAGAAAACAAATTTCTGTTATTTAAGCCATCCAGTTTGTGGTATTTTATTGTAGCAGACTAAGTAACTAATGTACCATGCAACGTAATACTATTCGTTCATAAAGTAATCCTGCATGTTACAACATGGAAGAGCCTTGAAAATATTATGTTAAGTGAAAGAAGCTGGACACAAAGAGCCATATATTTTATTATTTCATTCAGTGAAATGTCTAGAACAAGCACATCCATAGAGAAAGAAGGTAGTTTAGTTGTTGCCAGTGGATAGAGGAAGAAGGGAATTGAGAGGTATGTGGTATCTCTTTGGAGTGATAGGAATTTTCTGAAATTAGTGGTGCTGGTTGCACAACATTGTGAATATACTAAAATCCTATCAATTGTAAACTGTAAAATGGTTAAAAATGGTGACTTTTATGTTACATGAATTTTATCTCATTAAAAACATTTTTAATATTTTCAAATTGTATGAATGTGAGTCTGTTGATGGTTAATTCTTCTTATAGATGAGAAAATTTTTAATTCAAATTATTTATTCTAAAAAAAAAAACAAAAAATGTTCACCCATTTCTCCAGCTCCCACCCCTGCCTCTAGCAGCCACCAGTCTTTTATCTATGAGCTTCATTTTATTTGTTTTTGGATTTCATCTATAAGAAAGATCATATGGGGGCAGCCCCGGTGGCTTAGCGGTTTAGCAGTGCCTTCAGTCCAGGGAGTGATCCTGGAGACCCAGGATCGAGTCCCGCGTCGGGCTCTCTGCATGGAGCCTGCTTCTCCCTCTGCCTGTGTCTCTGCCTCTCTCTCTCTCTCTCTCTGTCTCTAATAAATAAATTAAAAATCTTAAAAAAAAGAAAGATCATATGGTATTTTTCTTTCTCTGATTTATTTCACTTAGCATTATGCCTTCAAGGTCACAAATGGAACAGTTTCATTGTTTTTTATGACAGAAGAATATTCCACTATATACATATATATATGTGGATGCCACTATATACATTTAGCGGAATATTCTTTATATATATATATATATATATATATGATATCACAATTTTTTTTAACCATTCA